TATTGGCCAGTGTTACATTAAAAGAATGAATACCAATTCTGTCAGAGTTAAGGCATGTGAGCTTTGGAAAGGAATAGGGACAGAGTTTGCTTCCAAGACATACAAGTTCTGCTAACAAAATTGGTCCTGTTGATAGCAGTTTATTTTTGGTGGGGGGGGGGGGGGGGGGGGGGAGGGATGGGACAGCCTTGTCACCACCAGGCCACCTCAGGAGACTCCACCATCCAGCAGTCAGCACCAGATCTGCTGACTGCTGATTTAGCTTCACCAGATTACCTCCAGTTCTTTTCAGCGACCCTTTGGCATCAGGTAGGTCCATTCTCTGCATTAATCTTCAAAGTGGCATCTCTCCCTCTTCTGTTGGGGGCCTTTCCTACACTCAATGCCTCCCTTCTTTTTGCCAGCACTTCAGCAACAAACCAGACTCCTTTCCCTTTCTGATGGCAGACAGTAAGGCCCTCCTCACTTCAACACACCAACCTCAACATGAATCACACTGTGCCCTTGGGAGGCCAGAAGACCCTTACTCATGGGTCCCAACTACCTGGCAGACAAATGGGGGTAATGCCTCCAGAACTATCTCACTGTCCTAGGGCCTTAGAAATGCAGATTAGCAAAATGGATCCATACCCCTAGGGAGAGAGGTATGGCTGAATTTGCCCCTTGAAACCCAGAAGACAGAGGTAAGGGACAAGAGTCCTGGGACAAGGTCGGATTTGCTTAAACTTCAAGAATATGGAGTTCCTCCTACCTATCTTTTCACCCAGATTATCAACAAAGGATTTAAAATTAAAAGAGTTCATTCTCGGGAGAGAAGGGGGACCCTGTATTTGAGAGGAGAAAAGTGGAGTGGAAGATAATTAATTAAAAGACAAGATGACAGATCTCCCCTAAATTTATAAATTCAATGCTATACCAATCAAAATATCAAGAGGATTTTTTATTATTTTGTCAAAATGATACCAGAGCTCATCAAGACAAATAAACTTGAGAATTACCAGGAAAATTCTAGGGGGAAAAAACTAAAGAAGTACCCTCAGTCCCTCTTTAGTTTTCAGATAGTCAATATAAAGCTAAATAATGAAGCTTGGTGCTAACGGGGAGGATTAGTTAAGATGATGATACATTTAAGGGGCATATAATTTTACTTGGCACATTGAAGCACTCTAAAAAATTAGCCATTATTACTTTTATATTATAACAATTTGAAAACTGTGTAAAAATGGATTATTCAATAAATGATACTGATCTAGCTGGCTAGCCATTTGAGAAAAAAATTAAGTGAATCCCCACCACACTCTATACCCCAAAATATAAATTCCAGATGAATGCAAAATTTAAACGTAAGTAATGAAACCATAAAAGAACTAAATGACAAGAAAAATGAGCTGTTTTTCCAATCCTGGAGTAAGGCCTTTCTCAGGATCCCTGTTAGCCTTTATATATATAATACCTTAGTGCAAATTAGAAAATGAAGGTCCTTCTCCAGGACTCTTTCCATCTGTCAGAATACTTTCATAATTTACTGATTTTGTTGGAATAAAACATTTTACTGGGGCCAGCCTGGTGGTGCAGCGGTTAAGTGCGCCCATTCCACTTTGGTGGCCCGGGGTTCGCTGGTTCGGATCCTGGGTGCGGACATGGCACCACTCGGCAAGCCATGCTGTGGCAGGTGCCCCACATATAAAGTAGAGGAAGATTGGCAGCAGATTTTAGCTCAGGGCTAATCTTTCTCAAATAAATAAATAAATAAATAAAATAAAAACATTTTACTGCAATTCACTATATATAAATCTATGATATCTATGATTTGAATAGAAGCTCCTAGGGTAGTTGGTGTACAACTGACCTGACTTTTCTAAAAATTATTTAATTAAAAAAAAAGAGCTGGGGCCGGCCCGATGGCCAAGTGGTTAAGTTTGCACACTCTGCTTTGGTGGCCCAGGGTTTCGCTGGTTTGGATCCTGGGCGTAGACATGGCACTGCTCATCAAGCCACAGAGAGGTGGCATCCTACATGCCACAACTAGAAGGACCTACAACTAAAATGCACAACTATGTACTGGGTGGATTTGGGGAGAAAAAGCAGAAAAAAAAAAGAAGATTGGCAGGAGTTGTTAGCTCAGGTGCCAATCTTAAAAAAAAAAAAAGAGCTATGTGCCAGCCCTGTGGCCTAGTGGTTAAGTTTGGCACACTCTGCTTTGGCAGCTAGGTTTCGGTTCCTGGGCATAGACCTACACCACTCGTCAGCGCCCATGCTGTGACAGCAACCTACTTTCAAAACAGAGGAAGACTGGCAAAGATGTTAGCACAGGGCAAATCTTCCTCAGCAAAAAGACAAAAAAAGAGCTAGAAGAAAGAGAAGAAGCTACTGACATAGAGAAAAGAAAGATAAATCTTACAAATTCATTTTTGCTATGCTTTTGTAGTGTCGGCCTTCTCTAATATGACCATGTTTTACTTTCATATTTTAAAATAATTTTAAGAAAAAGGAAGAAACACTAAGGAGCTCAGGAAGCATCTCAAGAAACTAGTATTCCTCCCACCCAACAGTCTCCTCATAAAGTCAGCAGGAGGAGTAACACACAGATGTGTCCAATTCCCATACTCCCCCAGCAGAGCTTACATTGAACAATAAAGCAGGGATGGGTGTAAAACGCTCAATGTGGATCATAGACAGAAGGTCCGGAAGATGGCCCTCACGAGACCCCACAAAGAACAACCTAGAAGGACAAAAAATGTGTCAGCAGGATCCTTTTACTCAGCCACGCAACCACACTTCTCACTCAGACAAACTAGGCTCAGAGCCCCAGAAGAAAGCAGGAGGTAGTCTCTCAGGAGAATCCTATGTTCTCTAGGCATGCCCAACACATCTTACCCCTCCCTTTACCCACAGATGCTTCCACACTCCAATCATGGGCACCTCACCATTACCCATGAATGCCCTACCCCACTGTTACCCACTGACACTCCCAGCCCCACAGCTATAGAACCCACTATCACCCACAGACACTCCACTTCTCTCAATCACAAATACCTCACATCTCCCAATGGATACCTCACCCTGCCATCGTCCACTGGCACCCCAATCCACGCCACCAGGGGTACCCCTGTTCTGTTACCCCACAAATTTCATACTTAGCACAATGACTTTTTAAAGAAGCGCAGTCAGACTTCGGTCATGCCCTCCACATATCTTCCCTGAGCTCCTGAGATGTGACACACTAGGGTGAGCCTGAGGATCAAAGAGACAACCCACATTTCCTCTCTGCACACAAAGAACCCTACTGACTGGGAAATAGAGTAGTAGAGAAATGAAACACCACCCAGGGCAGTTCGCAACATCATGGAGCACACAGCACACATCATGAGGCTGGGGTGTGTGTTGGGGAACAAAAAGCTTCACAAGAGATGATCATATCTGGGCTGGGAAGGAGTGCTGAGTTTGCCAGAAGGTGAGTGAACATGAAATAGCACAGACAAAGGCAAAAAAGACCTGAGGCATGAAAGAGTGTGGCCTCTTTGAAGGCTGGTGCTAGAATGCCTGGAGTCCTAGGATAAGTGGTGGGAGGAGAGTTCTGGGAAGAATCTGCATATGAGGCCATGGTGTGGAGTCTGAACAAACACTGAGAGCCAGCTGTGGCTTTGAAGTAACGGCCTGATGGGATTTGACTCAGAGACTCTGGTTGGCATCATACAGACTGCACCACAGCAGGCAGAGGCTAGGGTGTGGGGGGAAGGCCATACAAGAAGGTTATCCATAACAACCTCCCATAAGAGATGATGCCTGAACAAGGGTAGACACCCTGGCCAAGGAGCGATCAGAAAAGATGTGATAACTTCAATCAAATTTGGTGATCCTCTATGTGTGAGTGTGCACGCACATGTTTGAGCTGAGACAAGGTGGACACCAAGGGAAAAATCAAGAGGCTAAGCAAGGAGAATTGACGGACTGACAACATCACAATTGGAGACAAGGCACATATAGGATACATATTAAGTTTGAGATACTTGTGGGCCATCCAGGTCACAGGAGTTGATATCATCTGGAAAGGTGGCACAGGGCAAGATGTTAGAGTTGGTTCACAAGGTTAATAATTTGTACTAAGAAGAAAAGAAATGTGGTAGAGGGGATGCTAGAAAGTGGTAATCTGTAGGTGAGGCAAAGGTGTCTAGTACAAAGCCAAAGACAGCTACATGTGTAATAAAGAAAAAGTGAAGAAGGTAACACAGGCAGAAAAAATTGTGCATTATCTTGACATCACTGCCATCCCCTTTATGTGCAGGTTCAGACTCCTACTGAGTGCCTTACACCCACCCCTATCCTGTCACTGCCACAAGATAATTGAGTGAGGTTAGAAGGCACCTACTATCTAAGTATTTTGGGATGACTGACAGAGCCATTTGGGATGTCTCAGGTATCAGTAAAGGTGAGGCTATGGGAAACACCGTCTTTGCGTGGGGCAACTTGTGAAGAGCCACACCGGGTGCACCTTTGGCCACACTAGGCTGACAAGAGGGAAGATGATACCATATTCTCTTAAGGGGCTGGCCCCGTGGCTGAGTGGTTAAGTTCACGCACTCCGCTGCAGGCGGCCCAGTGTTTCGTTGGTTCGAATCCTGGGCGCGGACATGGCACTGCTCATCAGACCACGCTGAGGCAGCGTCCCACATGCCACAACTAGAAGGACCCACAACGAAATATACAACTATGTACTGGGGGGCTTTGGGGAGAAAAAGGAGAAAAATAAAATCTTTAAAAAAAAAAAAAAAAAAAGGCCTTGATCTCTCCAGTACTCTAGTTGCCCCAGAGAGGCCCCAAGTACATGGACTGGGGGGTTAAAACTAGTAAGAAGAATGAATAGGACAAAACTATTTCTTTTATTAATTCACCCTCCTGTCTGTTCATGTGGCAAATATTTATTGAACACCTATTACACACCTGGCCCTGGGGACAGCAACATTCATAGGCTGAGTGGAAGAGAAATCCTGAAAGAAGACTTCCTCTCAGATATCAGATATCACAGAAGGCACAGAAATAGTTTCAGAAGTAGAAGGTGGTTAGCATCACTTACTTCGGGGATCCAGTAGGATAAGGACTGAAGGCAGGCTAAGAAGGAGGTCACTGATACCCTTAATAGAAACATTTTTAGGTAGTAGAAGCCAAAGTATAATGGATAGAAAAATGAATGACAGTCGAAATGCAGACCATTCCCTTGAGAAGTGTGTCCAGTAAGGGGACAAGGGGAGATGACAAAAGCTGTTTTGTAACTTCTCTAAGTGGAGCTGAGAGAAGCTTGTGCAGTGCTGGCTCCAACTGAACATCCCCCAAAGAGAAGGGCCAAGCGATGAAGCAAAGTGCTGAAGAAGAGGTGAAGTACTAGAAGCCTGAGACCAGGTAGCAGAATCAGCCTGGAGAGGCAGAACTGCTCCTTTCTCTGAAACGATGGGAAGGACAGTGCTCTTATATATAAGTCTCTGCACAGAGAGGAGAGCAGAAGCCTATTTGTCAGCCTCAGTGTTTTCTGTGAACTGAGTAGCAGAGTCATCCTGTACAGTACCTGGTAGACAGCAAGCGCTCAATAATCATTTTTTAAAGGAATGAATCCTGGGGCTGCAGCATAACCCACAAGGAGCCTAGAGTCTGGTCCCTGATAGGATCACTACTCTAAGCTACTGCCTTCCTCCCCTCCACCTCTTATCAATCTGTCCTTGCCTTAGATGGAAACGTGAGTTACCAGTACACAGATGTTTGCATAAAGTCAGGCACACATGCATACACACATATATCCACCCTGTATATCACAGAGAAGAAACAGGGAAAAAAGGGCCCTTATGGGCTCACCTAGAGACTCCAAGAATTAAATATTGCAGTCTGTTATCAGTGAAACAGAGGCACAGTACCTTGATGAAGCAAAGATAGACGCATTGAGGCCCCCAAAGCAGGACAGAGCGACGGCAATGGGAATGGTCCAGCTGAACATGCCAAATGTCCGGTCAGCAAATGTCTGGAGGCAGAGCACAGAAGGGGCACTTAGCACAGGACAGGGTTTCATAAGCCTCCTGCATCTATGGTTCTGGGACAAACACAGTCGCATCTGAGCAGCCCACCCTCTGGCCTAGATCCATCAACTGGCCCTGCAGAGCTGGAGCAGCTGCAGAAAGAGATCGAGACATTCAGTATCATAAGATGACGAGCAAATGGAGATCCCAAGAGACTCACCACAGCCACAGCATCACTGCCAAGGACATCTGAAATGCTCAGCACTGTGTAATAGGCCACGTTGGTCAGGATGTAGATGAGCGTCACAATTGGCATAGAAATCCCAATGGCCAGGGGCAAATTTCTGTCAGGATAAGTGAGATAGTACTACTAGAACCAACCTCCCCTTGGGGTCAAAGTCCACCGAGGGATTTTTCTAACATTTAACAGTTCCCCAGCCTCTCTGGGTCTTTGACGCAGGCTCCTCTTCCCCATGTGACCTAGGGTAAGTATGTATCCCATGCCCCTGGGCTCTTTCTACTGAGAAACAGAGAGAGAGAGAGAGAGAGAGATCCTTCTCTGTGAAGATAGCTGATCAATATTTGATCTTCCCCACAGTTGAACCAATGAAGAAGGGTCCCAGTGAAGAAGGAGCAGTGTCCTCTAGGGACTGGAGGCGAGGCTGGGGACCTGGCTGCCCAGAATAAGTTTCTGGTTCCCCAGGCTTCAATGTCAGCTCCAGAATACAAGGGTCAGCTGTTGCCCACTGAAGGACCTCTCCTCAAGGAAGGACCTTGGGGATCCTCCAGTGTGAACATGAGGGTAAGGAGCCAGGGGCTTTACAACCTTCACTCATTCCCATCCTAGCCCCTAATCCCTCCGAGCTGGAGAAAGGGGAGTAGGGAGAAGAAGGGGTAAGAGATGTAGGGAAGAGGGGAGGGGAGAGGGCAAGTGTGCCCACTATCATCAGGAGTTCCAGCCAAGTTGGGGAGTGAGAGTGTGATCCCGCCTTTACCTTTCTGGGTTTTTGATTTCTTCTGTTACAAAATTAAGGGTGTCCCAACCTGAGTAAGAGAAGAGGGCAGAGTAGAGGGCGAGAGAGAGGTCTCCCATGTCCCAGGAGGAACCCTGAAAGGCGTCCTGAAAGTGCTCAGAGTGTCCTGTGGGGGCAGAGGCAGGTGGGGGGTTCAGGGAAAAGGAAGAGGAAGAGGGAGGAGAGGAGAGAGGGAAGGTATCAGGAGATGAGGAAGGATGGGGAGGGGCAGTAAGAAAGAGGAAGGAAAGATGGGGAAAAAGGAGAAAGGACGAGGGTCAAGAAAAGAAGGGAAAAGCAAGAGGGTGGGGGGAAAAAAACATAATTTAACACCAAAAGAACAACCACCACCAGCTCCCTGCACTTGATCACCCAACCCACTCCCTCAGGGAAGTTCATATTCCTTTAGTAAAACTAGAGAATCTCAAAAAAACAAAGGCATTTCTGGCTGCCCTCTGAAGTGATAACACCTTTTCCAAAGCCCTAATGAATTTCCATTTCCTGCAAGTGACCTCACAGCAGGCCACAGATCTTCCTATTTTTAGAAAGAACCCTGTTTCACATTAAGGAGTCATTTTTCGTAAACAATTAGACCTTCCTGTGGAACTACTTCTCTTGGCTCAGACCACGGCACAACTTGGTCAGATGGGTTTCTCAGTCTCATGGAAAGAACTGTTGCTCTACTTACAATAGCTGTGATTGCATGAGGCAGGAAATGCCTCACTTCACAGAGGCAATGTAGGAACTGGGGTCTTATCTCTCACTGGGCCTTGGTAGACCTGGGCCACCTCCACCCTTGGAGAGCCAGCCTAAGCACCTGTCTTTCTCCTTGGAGGCCTCCAGAGACCAGAGACTGCAGACTTAAAAACTGAGAGAGCAGCACCCAGCTGCCCAGGAGAGAGACTTTCTGGACACACTGGGGGTTTTTAACAAGACCCAAACATCTAAGGAAGCCTGCTGTTACCCTCTGTAGAAAGCCTAGACCCATTCCTCAATGTGGCAAAAAGGGCTGGCTGGGCAGCAAGAGAAGGGTAAATAGAGACTCTCATGCCCCAGGGGTATCAGTCATCACACACAGCAGTGGTTACCTAAGGCACAGATCTTGGGTGGAGGATTACTCAACTACCCAATTTGACCCCAGCTGTTTCTGAGATTCCAGGGACATTCAGATGGCAGGCTGTACTAACTTGGTGCATGTGCACAAAGGTGCTAGACCAACTGCCTAAGCACCACTCAAGGCACTTCTTAAAAATATCTTTTTCAACTACAAAACAATGAGAGTTTGATCCAACAGGTCTGAGATGGGGGGTCTCAGCTACCCAGGTGATTGTAAACACAGCAAAGTCTAGAGACAGATGATCTAGAGAAGTGGGTTGTTCAACGATTGAGATATCCTTGGCCAAGGACATCACAGGACTTCTCTTAGAGCTCAGGAGGTCTTGGGAGGCCTGTTATGTTCACTGCCAGTCTGTTCTGATCCAGGAATAAAAGGCTTTCTAAAGCCAACATGCAGGAAAATCAGCGCCAACTTCACAATATTTTAATATTTTGCTGAGAGTTGACTTCGGGAGGGAATGCTGAAGAAGAGCAAGTCCAGATGAAAAGTAAAGCCTACAAAATAACCATTCAGTTCCACATCCCATCTCCCCTACACACACCTTCCCACTCAAGAAGGGCCAAGTCTTCCTACTCACTGCCTGGCAATCACAGACCAAAAACAGGAGCCAGAGCAGGGCTCACTCTATCCCCACTGATTACTTTTATGACCCAATTTACAACCCATGTTCCAAGAGCTCCTAGGCCCTCAGCTGGCTTCTCGCAGTGCTCCTAGCCTCCCAAAAGGGAAAGCAGCCCTGAGGGAGGAGCTGAGTCAAGTCCATTTGGCCAAGCCAGCCTGACCCAAGAAGCCCAGGGACAGATCTCTCGCTCTCACTGACACAGTCTACCATGTACACAGAAAGAGCTGAGCAGTAAAGCTAACAGAGTCCCCATGTCCTCCTCAGCGAATCCACGGTAACTCCAGGAGTCATCCACCCACCTTCCCACCTTGGGCCCTTCTTACCCTGGCACAGTTTAACAAGGCCCATGACAATGATGGCAATGAGCGCTAGGACCTTGGCGTAAGTGAACGTGTCCTGCACACGTGTGCCCCACTTGACATAGGCACAGTTCACAAATGTCAGCAAACCTAGGAGGAAAACCATAAAGTCACTGGCAGGCTTGAGCTGAAGGCACAAAGGCCCAACCTCTCTTTACAGAGTGCATCACTACCCTGTCTGCCTAAGGCAAAGGGGCCAATGGACCAGTCAGAACCAGGAGAAGAGGGAAATGGGGGAACATCATCCATCTGCCCCAGCTCAAAGCTTCCGTGAATATCCCATCACTGTTGACAAGCAAAGATACAAAGGCACACATTAACACATTTTCATACATTCTGACAGCAGGAACCATTTTTAGAAATCCTTCCCAGGCTCAGGAATGGTGGACAGCACCCACTCTCTCCCACTCAGACTCCCAAGGTTCCAAACCACCTGCAGCATAAGACCTCTCCATGGGGGCCGGCCTGGTGGCGCGGCTGTTAAGTTTGCGCGTTCCGCATCTCCACAGCCCAGGGTTCACTGGTTCGGATCCCGAGTGCGGACATGGCACCGCTTGGCAAAGCCATGCTGTGGTAGGTGTCTCACATATAAAGTAGAGGAAGATGGGCATGGATGTTAGCTCAGGGCTGGTCTTCCTCAGCAAAAAGAGGAGGATTGTCAGTAGTTAGCTCAGGGCTAATCTCTCTCAAAAAAAACCAACAAAAAAACAAATAAGACCTCTCCATGGCCACATTAGAGAGTGGGGACAAGAGAGGCCCATCAATAAATGAGGTGAATTTGAATACAGGTGGAAGGTCACCCAGGAATTAGAGAAACAATATTTTGCATGCAAGTGTAAAAAAGGAAAAAGCCTGTCATGTGCTTGACAGTTTCACATACATCCTCTCAATTAATTCTCACAACTCCAAAACATAGACATTCCTCTTCCCATTTTATAGATGAAGAGATATTGGCTTTACTATATCAATAACATGATTTCTATTTAATATAAACTCATGAAACTTGCAACAAACTGAGGCTGAGAGAGGCTAACTACCATTCCCGAGCTCACACAGACCCCAATGATCTCCCTCATCCCCATTCCTATCCAAACCTCCCAATACTCAGTGAGGTCCATGGAGAAGTGAGCTCCTTTAGACATTCCCTAGGCTCGTATCACTACTGCTGGCTTTATGTTCCAGCTCCTCATGTACCTTAGTGATATCTGGGCCCTGTGTTGAGGGTCCTAGCACCTTACCCCTGCTAAATAAGGACTGCTCTGATCCATGGGGAGGACATGAGAACAGTATCCAAGGGGCTCCACAGTGACACCTCTAAGTACTTCCCTGAGCCTCCAAAAATAGAACTTTTATGTGAACCTCATATGTTATTACAAAATCTATTGGGCCATCTCTACCTACCCCTACCCATCTTGCACTCTTTCCTTCAGCCAAACTCTCTCCTTACTGGTGCCAGATATAGGCATAGAAGAAATGTTCTCCCCTCCTCCTCCTGTCAAGGCCAACAGCAACTCCCACTTTTAAGGTCTAGCTCAGCCCCCACTTCCTCTGTAAAACCTTCCCCAAACATACGAGCCACGCCCTCACTAAGCTCTCCCTCCCCGAACCTTATGGCATTCCCACTTCACAGCACAGCTTAGTGTCTCATTCTATGGTCATGTAGACATCTGTCTCAAGAAGGTCTCTCCCTCAGGCATTCGGGTGGTGCTCGAGATCACAAATTCTTAGGGGGAAACAAAAGCATATTGTTTTCTTTTTTTTTTCCTTCTCCCCAAAGCCCCCCAGTACAGAGTTGCACATTTTAGTTGTAGGTCCTTCTAGTTGTGGCATGTGGGACGCCACCTCAGCGTGGCCTAACAAGCGGTGCCATGTCTGCACCCAGGATCCCAACCAGTGAAATCCTAGGCCACCGAAGCGGAGCGCGCAAAGTTAACCATTCGGCCACGGGGCTGGCCCCATCGTAGTGTTTTCTTAAGCTTACTGCCAAGCAAAGAGGGGAACTAACGAACTCTGGTTGGAATCAAGGTGGTGATGACTTTCACTTAACCTCCAATTCCCTGGAGCAAGGCAAATGTCAGGAAGTTGGACATTCCTCCACTCAAATGGAGAGGAGAGCCTAGAGCCAGCATGTGGAAATAAACACAGGCGGTTGAACAGCCTTCATGGCACTTCAAGAGCTTTCACACAATATGCTGGCAGATAACACAGGTGACTACTAGTCAGTCATATGAGGTGGAGGGTGGAGGAATGGGGGGTATTAGTCAAGGAGGAGGGGAGTAGGCCAAATGAATGCATGCTGCTGGCAGGTCTTCCCAGGGATCTGCCCTGCTATTCAAAGTTTGCTGTGCAGGACTAAGCCTAGATCAGCTAACATAAGGATTACCTAGTTAATAGCCACCAGTAATCTGCAGACCCCTGTTCAATACAGTAAGCATATTTTGAGGTACCTGCCAAGCCCCTTCTTGGGAATTGTTCTCCTTGCCCTATCATGGCTGATTTGAACCAGACAATGGACCCAAGCTGAGCCTATTCGATTTTGTCTCTTCCAGGAACAAGAAGTCAGGATACTAAGAGACTGAATCTATTTAACAGCAGCAGAGTCAGGGGCCATAGCAAGTCAAAGTCACATATAAGCCTTGTAACTACAGACTAACAAAAACCACAAGAAAGCAGAGGAAGGAAGCAGGACTACAAAAAGAAGTGTGAGGGCACACAGCTTGTGAGAAAAAGGCTGATGGAGAAAGATGCAGAAATACACAGAGACAAGAGACAAAGATAAGAAGACAGAGAAGGGGAGAAAGAGAAAGAGAAAAAAAGATAGACATACACGTGGCGAAAGAGACTGTCTCACAATGTCCTGGCTGTGCTTGATGAATATTATTTTAGACTGGTTACTTTTAAAAACTGTGGACAAGAAGGAGGCTCTGAGGAGTGGAATTTGCTTGCCCTTTGATGAGAGACATTTGCATTTGTGAAGGAAGTCTCCATCTGTGGGGGATGTCTCCCTCTCTGCACCAGGAGGAAGTGGGGATGACCTTATCTCTAGAAACTCTTAATGGGGAAGGCAAGGACTTAAGTTGTTTACTGTCTGGTAACCTCATGTAACTGACCCTCCCCCCCCAACATCCTCCTTTGTCTTTAGCTGAAGATAATATTTAAGCGGTGGCTTCTGCCATTTACTTTGACAAATAAAAATGGCAAGTAATAGGATATATTGGAGTATATGAGGAAGCCATTTGGTGTAAACCTAATTCGGCCTGACCTTGTTCTTCCAAAAGGGCCTGACAGTGACCCTTGAGCCGTTGAGCATGCATTCTATATCTGCCTTAGATATTCCCTATGGCAAGAACAAAGGCCCTTGAGATAAAGGTGCAACTTCCCTTCCCCTCCCAACGTTGGCATTTCCTTAAGGATTAAGCATCTTTCCTTAGGCTAGGAACTGATTGCTGTGCTCACCTGTGACCACCCAGCTTGAGACAATAGACTTGCCTCCTGCTACTCCCGCCAAGACAGCAGACCCACTACCTGCTGTGTCCATCAAGGGCTGTGCTGACAGGGCAATCTTGTGACTATTGTGGGAGGGACATTTCAATCATATGTGAAACATCCTGTTTGGAGACATATAACCACTCTGTATACCTCACTTATTTGGTACCCTTTCTTCCTTCGGGAAGAAAGGCCCCGGGGCCATGGTCTTCAGATTTTAGCTCAGAATAAACTCATCCCAAATTTTCATTTATAGGTTGGTTATGGATTATTTTCAGTCTGACAACTTAATCTGGTTTGATTCTTATCTAAAAGTTACAGGACCCAATAACCAGACCCCACCAGCACTGATACCATTTTAACAACTCTTTTTACATATTCTTTCCTTTGTCTTGTAAAGAGATAACTCACATACTTATGCCTTAAATTTAGCCCCACCCTCAACTCATGTTTGCAGCAGCTCTTTACCGCCCATGGGTCCTGTCCCCATGCTATTCCACACTATTCTCTAAATAAGAGCACTACTGCCAGACCTTGAGAGTCCAAGAAATCTTTCTTTCGACTCCTCGGCTCACCGACCCCGCATCATGCTCACTGTGCTTCTGGTTTGTGGCACCAAGATGTGACTGTAAGATGGGGAAGAGAAATGATACACTCCTCAGCCCTACAGAGAAGCACCCCCTCTCACTTCTGCTCCTTCTTCACTCCATTCTGCTACAAATTACTCCCATGGCTTGTTCCTCTCTGCACACTAGTGAATATTGCACACAGTGGGAATTCAACAACTACTGGTGCTGAACAGATGAATGAAGGCAGCACCTCATGGAGGTCTCTGCAAAGCCCCTTTTGAAAGACCAGCTGGAAGGATACAAAAGAATCTGGTCACAGTGGCTGCCTCTGGGGAGGAAGACTAAAGCTCTGGAGAGGCAAGGAGACTTTTTCCATTGTATTCCCTTTTATACTTTGACTTATTTACCATGCACATATGCTTCTTTCTCAATAAAAATAAAAACAGCTAATTAACAACAATGTGCAGACAGGGAGCAGGGCCAGGAGTAGGGTGAGGGGAGCAAGGCCCCCAGGGTGCGAAATTTAATGAGGTATTGACTCACAGATGACCACTTAGCAATCTGAGAGTGAGTGCATCCTTAAATGCTGGCCCAGGTGCCTTGCTTGCTTCACCCTACTCTCAGTGCCGCCAGAGAAGAGAGAGCTCCAAGAGCAGTCTACCATGCAGAAGCCAAGTCCCCTGAATGTTTTCCTGGTTCTAATCAAGAAACAAAATTTCACCATCTGATCCCCAGCCCTCCCAGATCTCCCATCCCTGTCTAGTATCACAGACTCTGTTAGAGCTCAAACATAAGACAACAAGGCCTGAGGCCAGGTGCTCAGATTCAACTACCACAATTAAAACATCCAAGTCTTGCCTCTTCTCCTGATCTCACTTCCTCGCTGCAAAGCCTGCACCAAGGAGTGTGAGACCCATGTGAGGGTCTTCAAGGCTCTCTGGGGGCTTGTTACTGAGAAAGGAGTACTCAAATAGCAGATTCAGACCCAATCCCAAAGCTGAAACAAATCTCCAAAGTCTCTCTGTGGCAAAGACT